AATAATTAAATATAATCCTCAAAAATACAACTTGCCTAATAATTCTGCACACAGTGTATATGTCAAGGTATAAAATTAAATAACCTATTTTTGAATTGTGGCTTTTATTGATTTATTAATTGGAATAGAGGGTTAAGATGGACTGCCATTGTTTGTGAAATTGCTGACCCAAATCGTGCTTAGGTGAAACCATCATACATGTTTTGTCGCCCCCTGGTGGAAGATTTTATATATAAGGCAAAGGTGCGTTCATGAACCAAAACAAAAGCATGTAAATTCCATTAATACCAACAGATCCCTGAGACGCAGTGGATAAGATGTTTGACCTGGAACACTGTTCTCTTCCGCCTCCGTGATGCGTTCAGGTGTAAGCGGAATGAAATGATTCATGCTGCAGAACTCCACTTCCTCAAACTGTAGTTAGTTTGTTTGGGTTCGTCGGATCTGAGACGGGGCAGCTCTCGGGTCCCTGTACGGCTGGGTGGAGGAACCATGGTGTTCGAGAACATCCAGTACGACGACATCCTGGTTGAAGCGGTACGTTATCTTTCTGCGTTCGAGGCTCAGCTCCAGGATTGTAGAAAAGGTTTGGATCCATCATCATGATTGCGTTTGCGTGCAGGCTGTCGGCAGAGGAACCTTTGGGGTGGTCTTCAAAGCGGTGTGGAGAGGAAAAAATGTGGCGATTAAAACCATCGAGAGCGACGCTGAGAGGAACGCCTTCCTGGTGGAGGTACAGACCCATGATTTCTGGCTCCGAACCGGGATAGAACCAGGTTAAGTTCAGTTAAACTCGCCCTGATGTGTGGAGGTTAAAGACTGGCAGAGAGGGGTCTGCACCATGGGCGGTTCTAAACGGGGGCCAACGGGGGTCAGTGCCCCTGTAGATCATGTCCTGGTACTGTACTAAAGACATAATACTGAGAGAAAATCTGATGATGATATGCACTGGAGCATGCATGGTTTCTGATAGGTCCTTTGGATCCTTTTCATTTTTTCTTTAAAAAATTCAGTTTTACTAATTATTTAAAACAATAAGGTGATAGCTTCAGTGATATTGAGATAGGATCCCAGTTTTCATCTGTTTTTTTTTTTTTAAACAAATAAAATACTCTACTTTTATAGCTGAATTATGCTTTTCTGTGCCCCAGTATGCTTTTTGGTAAAACTTTTTATACTTTCTTAGGATTCATACAGAAAATAGGGAGTTTATTAAGCGTGATACTGTCTCAAGGTAAGCCAAAAGTTTTATGGGACAACAATGGGAAAAAATAGATGGAATAAAATAAACAGAAAGTTCAGATATGGATATTTAAGTTATAAAAGAACCAATGCAATCATAAAAAAGTCAGCCCTTAATCAGATTCATAGATCAAAAGCTGCCTCAAATAAAAAAGTTTTAATTTGTGAAATGAACATGAAAACACAACAAGAACCTGCGCTAAATAACAGAATTTAAAACAAGATAAACTTACAATCTACTTATGACAGCAGGGTTGTTTTCATTTTTATGTTTTAACAGCTCACCTGCTGCTGTGCCAATCATTAAACACCTTTTATTCTTTTAACTTTTCCCTTGATTACTTGTAGGAAAGCATTCACGGGAAGTACATCCATGAATTTGCTGGTTACTACAGAGTTAGTAACGAATAGTAGCTAATATATATAATTATATAACAATAGTATTATTATTAGTATATTTTTTGCACTGTATATATTTGTCTTTGCACTGCTCTGAACTTCCATATCTATGTGTTTTTGCACCATGTTTTTCTCCCACGCTGCCATCCATCCATCCATCCATCCATCCATCCATCCATCCATCCATCCATCCATCCATCCATCCATCTTCCGCTTATCCGGGGTCGGGTCATGGGGGTAGCAGCTTCAGCAGGGGAGGCTCTGACGTTCCCCTCCCCAGTAACTTGGGCCAGCTTCTCTGGGGGAATCCTAAGGCGCTCTAAGGGAGAGCCCAGACACACTACGGAGAAAACTCATTTCAGTCGCTTGTATCTGGGATCTCTTTCTTAAAAAAAACATAGATTTTGTTTTGTATACACTCTGTGTATACAAAATGACGATAAAAGTTGTCTAAGTAACTAGTATATATTAAGTATATATCATGACCTCAGACTCAAGTCAGTCAATACTGAATCAGAGAAATATATACATTTCTGCACTTTCCTTCCAGTTTTAACTTCAATAATGTAATGACCAATTTAATATGATTGAGTCTAACAGTAAAATGAATATATCTCTTACCGGTATATTCTTTATTCTAAACACTTATTTACATAAACATAAACTATTTCTAGTACAAGTATGTCTTGTTTTATGTAAATTTATCCCCACTGAGTGATGATTAAAATTATTATTCTATTCTATTCAGGGCTGAAACCATTAATTAGATTAATTTTAATTAATAGTTTATTAAAATAGTCATCAACTTGTGTAGTAATTGATTAATTGTTAACTGGAGTATAGAGACTGTAAAACAGGCCTTTAGCTGACAGAGTGACCTACTTAGAGCTGTAATTAAATTAAAATAACTCATCTGTCAATATGCGCTATCCAGAACTCCACAAGTTTTAGTTTCACCTGGTTGGATTCTGTAAAAAGTATTTCTTAAGGAACCTTTTGCTATCCGATTACTAATCAATTAATCAAAAAAAAAAAAAAATACTTGACAGATTAATTGATTTGCAAAATAATCGTTAGTTGCAGCCCTAATTCTATTCTATTCTGTTTCTCACGTCATCAGATCTTTTTTTAAATTTTTTTTTTTTTTAATGCTCCTTCCCTTGACCAGCTCAGTGATGTACATGCCTGAACAGTAACCTCTAGAAAACCCAGACAGATGATTTTAACTCGGCGTTCTTAATACAAGCACATCTTATTTTCTTTTTTGTGCAGCTCCGCCAGCTGTCCCGGGTCAGTCATCCCAACATAGTGAAGCTGTATGGCTCCTGTGAGGACCCGGTGAGTACACGACAGATTACCGAGTTCTGGTTATGTTTTTGGTCCATTACAATGACGTTAGTTTAAAAATGTAACATAAAAGCTCTCATTAATTTGGTCAGGGTTGGACGTTTCTTAGGGATGGTGTTTTTTTTCCAGGAGTTTTTTATGTTTTTTTCTGGCCGGAAGAAACTTGGAAGGCGAAATTTACTGTAAATTTTTGTTTCTTTTGGTGAATATTTGTCTTAAGCATGCCCAAATCCAGTAATAACCTTAAGGTGGTGTTCAGTATCTATAAACCAGGGTGGTCTGGAGGCAGGAATAGCAGAAGATTAAAGGAAAAAAAAAGCCAGGTGGTGTAATCTGACTATACAATAAAGTGTTTTCCTACCATTTAAAGTCTGTTAGTAAATTATCACTTCTGCATTAAATATGTAATTCCTTGATGGGTTTTCTCTGGTCGGTAGGGTTTGCAAGTTCTGTTACCAATAGTTATTTATTCATTTAAATTTGTATTACATAAACTAAATTATATAAATTTGAATTATATAGCTTATAGCTTATGGATATATTGAGTTGACTTTAAAATGGAACAATCCCAGTTCTCCAAAATGTGATTTATTACCATGACTTTCTTCCAATAAACAAT